AATCAAACAACGGTTAAATTTTGTAAAATAATATCATTTATATAGTATGTTTAATTATTTAACAAGGAAGTTATATATATATCTTCCATTATTAACTTTTACATTTAACGATAATTTAAATATTTTATTTATAGCCGTAAAACAATATAAAAACAGATAATATAAAATTATAAATAAAAGACAATTAAAATATAAAGTATTACTACAATTACAAATACATCAGAATCGGCCACATTGCTCGGGTATGTATTAAAAAATCAGCTAATTTTATTGATAAAGCAATAAACGGTTATAATGCAGAATTTATGGTAGATATAAAAATAAATGACAACGAGGTAAGAAAACAGATTGGAAAATCCAATTTATCGGCTTAGAATAAAATTTAGATGCTAAAACTCAAAATCTATACAGGTTCAAATATACCAATAGTAGCCATACTAGAGTAAAATTATTATATGTAGGACGAACGTTAGAACTACCTGTCATAATTACAAAAGAAAAATCTACTTGGAAGAAAATGGTTAATGAAATTATTAAAGATGACTGTAACAAAAAGCAAATATATAACATTAACATATAAAATGAATTTCCTCGATTCTTTAGAAAGAATTGGGATGTTTTAGAGACTTCAAATACATATGAACCAAATTTATGTAAAACCCGTGTGCCCTAAAAAAAAGTTGAAAAGTTAGACAGACTGTTACAAATAGGAGTAATAGAAAAAATTAATCATTCTCTTTATATTTCACCCATAGTGATTATTCAAAAGAAAAATAAGATGTTTCGAATATTTAGTGATTAAAAGAACTATAAATCAATATTAATTTGTACCCAATACCACGAATCTAAGATTATTAGCTAGTTTGGAAAAAGAAGAAAAATTTTCATTATTGAACCTATTTGAATTCCAAAATGAAAGAGGAGGAATTATAAAAATATCTGGTAATTAATATACATTGATAATTATTTAAGTATATTAGGTTACCATTTGGTATATCGTCCTACCCTGCAATATTTCAATGGGTTTCGATAGTTTATTAAAGGTTAAGGAGTAGCTTGTTATTTAGATGACATTATAGTAACAAGAAAAAATAGACAACATAAAATAAATTTTATAAAAGTACTAAAATGTTTTGCGAAAAATGGCATCAGGTTAAAGGTAGAAAAATGTAAATTTTTCAAAATAAATGTAGAGTACTTAGGACATAATTAATGGTATCATAACATCAAAAAATATTGAGTAGGTGAAAAAAGCACAAGAGCCAATAAACAAAACAATTACTACTTTTTATAGAAAATTTTGCAGATATGGCCAGGGTGTTATACTATTATAGTGCGAACGAACATATTGAGCGTATGCGTTTGGAGTACGTTTTTAATTTTAAAAAACGTAACGCATCCACTGTTTAAATTGAAGGTGATTTATTTTTTTTAAATAAAATGGAGAATTTTGGGGAAAATTAACAATTATTATCCTTTTTGTATTTATTAAAAAAGGGCGAACAACAAATCTATCAAGAAGGGAGGGAAAACCTCTAAAATATTTATCCAAAGTTATTTATTCTTGAAATATATTATTTTAAAAGGAGAACATCTCTTCTTTAGCTATACAAGGATGCGGTGAACAACTTTCTCCTATATTCTGAGCCTAATCTATGATGATATCAATCTTAAAGTGATAAACTGCAACAAGCAGATTAATGAGAGGATAGATTGTTTGTTTACCTTAAGGTAAAATAATTCAATTCAATTTAAAATAAAATTATTTAAATAAAAGGTATCTTATATCTGGAAGGCATTTAGTACAAGGATATCCAAATCCTGCATAGCTTAGTGATTCTCTGCTCAGCATCTCAGTTATAAGCATAGATTCTCTATTGTGTTGTTAGCTCTAAGAAATTACAATAGAAAATTTATATGGGAAGCAAAGTGATGGTTTTAGAAATAGCTCCTGTATAGAGGTTATATTATGTTCATTCTATATAATCATTTACTGATATTTATTTTCAATAATATATATAATATTCCATTATAATAATAGTAAAATTAATATATAGAAATTCTGAACCATACACTTGACTCACCTTATCCTAATACCATTTCCAGGATCTATTAAAGATATGCCATGGTAGCAGATGATGTTTTTCCATTGTCTTATCCCAAAAATAATTTATCGTTAGAGAAAAGAAAATATAATAGGAGTTATCACATGAACGTGTAAATATAATAAGTTTTGGAGGTATTGTTAATAAATTGGAGCTTCTTAATAGATCTATGGAATTGACATAGCTCATGATGAGATAATAGTCAAGACTATATGTCATCTACGCAACATCAAAATATCATTAAGGGAATACCTGATGTTTATGAGAAAGTATTAATATTTTGTTTTAAAAAATTATATTCTATAGATATAACATCTCTTTTAGCAGGGATAATAATTTATCATCTAATGAAGCAAGAAATATCAGAAATTTATTCAAGAACTTCTTAAATTTATAAATGATATTTTTTTTTTTTTAAATTATATACACATCTATAAATATATATATTTATTGGTTTATTTTACATTATATAAAAATTTATATTAATCTTGATATTTGAATAAAATAAATGATTAAAATTATATATCTTGTTATGCTAAATATAATTTGAATAGTGTGCTTATTTATATATAATTTACAAAAAATATAACAAAAGAGAGTATCTTATTTTTTTTTATTGAAGCTTACCTCACCAACACTGTGTTTATCTCAATCGTTACCAATACCCTAGGCATGTTCGGAAGTGATGCTAACCATAGGAAAAAAATGAGGCAGATCTCAGGGACCCCAATGAAGGATTTTACCTTCGTCAGCAGATTTTCCTGGAAATCTGCCGGTCCAATTTTTTAAGCATTCACTCTTCTCTAGGGTGATTTGAATCCTTTTTTTATAAATTTTTTTTTCTCAGTTCTTTTATATATATATTTTTTAATTCATTTTTAATATATGCTTATTTATTTTTTAATATATTTTTAATTATAATTTGTAAAAGAAAAATTTGTGAAAATTTAAAAAAAAATTAATTATTTGCTACTACATTTAATTACAACATATCATATCAGTAAATATTCAAATAATGTAATCCATGACCGGAAAAAAAAATATAAAAAAATAAAAATATTATTGATTAATTATTTTTTAAATTGTCTATGAAAAAATTTACATTTTAATAAAAATGGACACTAGAATATAAGAAAACTTTATTTTATAAAAATAGATTTACGAAAATTTCAAAATAAAATAATTTAGGAAATAATTTCATTAAATATCTCTAATGAGGTTTGATTATAAAGTGTATCTGTTGATGAATTTGGAGAAAATATTTCGATTGTGATATTTAAATCCTGTAATTTATCCATCAATGTATAATATAACCTTGAAACTTCACCTTTATAATAAAAATTTGTTTTTGTTGTTAATAGTTTCCATACTTTTTGTCATTGATTGGAGAAACAATCTTTAATATTGTTACATTTATAGATAAATTATTTTTTACTTGATTTCAGAAAACACCTTTTCAAATGAACTAACATTCTTTGATCAAACAATGCGTTTAATTTTAACCCACTTGCTTTTGATATAATTTCTTTGGGACTAAAATTATAACCAGCGCATTGATGACTCCATAAAGTTAAGTGTTTATACCATCTAAATAAAACTTTAGAACCAAAAGCTCATAATGCCTTGCCGATTTTGATTTTATTTAGTTGATCTTTGAAATATTTCCCATACTCCAAAATTATAATATCAATCAATATATTCTAAAATTATAGTAATATAAATTAATATATTAATTTATACTAATAATTTTGTATTTATTTTCGAATTTAAACACTTGCCTTCACATCATGCGTTTTATTTAATTAAAAATTTCCAAAAATTTTATTCTATTTTAGATGATCAGGAGCTCTTATTTCCTTTTATACTTCAAAAATATGAAGATAAATTTAAATCGATACTTGAGAATATAGTCAATAAGTTGTAAGCTAAACAAAAGTATTGATGCAATTTATCAACTCTCTTTACAAAAACTGGATGCTGTTGTCGTGTGGCGCTCCATCGATTATCTACTTTAGCAATGACGCACAGCAGTGTACAGACCTTAGTCATTAGTAATAGATAAATCAGATGAATGATTAAAAGCTTACTAGCTTGTTAAATAAATACCTTTTGACAAATAAGTAAGCAGTTGAGATATAATTGCTAACAGGTTAGGCTTAGACATATCTCTATCTCACATTGTAGAAGATAGGTAATGGTTGATTCAGAAGCTAAAAATCCACTCTTTTTCTTGTGAACGGATACAAATATATAAGGCAAGAAAAAATTAATCATTCAAGCCGATATTCCTTCTCATTATAAACTGCGAGATATTTCAGTTATTAATAATTCGCGCCATAATGGACATACTTTAACTATCTGTGACATTCGGAAACGCGTGTATTGGAATTTTTTGCTCAAAATAATTTATTTTTTTACTTATGTATGACATCTCAAATTCGATAAACAATTATTTTGTTTATCTTAATCAAATGAAAATAAAACATAAAAAGAGAGAAACATAACTTTAAATTGTAAGAATATGATTATATCTGTTTTAATTTTAAAGATATACAAATAATATATCAAAGAACCAAATTTAGTAAAAGATGCCCGGTCTGTTTATTAAAACGGTCAAAAAATAAGAATAATCTACAATTTAAAAATCACACAAGTCAACCATTAATATACAACAGTTAAATAATTTTCCCCAGTTTGATTAAAGGGCGTGTGTTCCTCTGCCTTAGGCCATTTTGGATTTTGGGCCTAATAAAAAAATTTATAATCAAATCTATAATTTCAATAATTAATTTAAACCAAATGTTTATTATAATAATTTTTAAGAAATTACATCAATCACGAGATAATCAGATATAGTAAATAGATATACTATAAATTATGACAATAAAAATTTACATGTTTTGTTATTAAGATCCCATGTTTTGATAGTCCTATCATAACTTCCCGATACCACTTTTGTTGAACCCTCCAAAAATTTGGCCGAAAGGACTTTACCACTATGACCAGTTAGTGTGTGCTTTAATAAAATAATTTTATAATCATAGTGTGAAACTTCTAACAATGTGACAAACCGATAGGTATAACGGTTTCATTTCATTTTGGTCATTTTTGTACAAATTTATTATCAGTTCATTTCGGTTTGGAAAATCTTATCCTTCTTTATGGTTTTTTATAATTGGAATTTTTAAAATTAATCATAATATATTTTATTAATTAACAATAATCTGATAAAAAATCTAAAAAACAGAAATAAAAACTAGACGAAAATATTTTAAAAACTTAAAACAAATATTAAAGAAAATAGGTTAAATTTTTATTGTATTTTAAAACAAAAACATGAATAAGAAATAACAAAGTATAACTTAGCTGAATAAAATTTTATAAGTAGACTGGTGTTATATAACAAAGTAAGCAACATAACATAGCAACATATAATTTTATAGGGTAGACAGTTCAGATACGTACACAGGGATTTGTTATGGGGAGGGAGGGGGGTAATTAATTTTAAAATAATTATTCTGTGTTATTTATGAATATCTTAAGTTTCAGAATTTATTAAGACCAATGACTATAAAATAAGTATAAAGAAATGATAGAATATAAATGTATATAATGCGTAAGAATGAATCACTATAAAATAATGGTTTGGAGACATTTTATCATAAGACAATCATAATAACACTTTATCAGGACGACATTTCATCACTCACTCAAATGATAACTCAACACTTTATCATGTGACACCTTATCACACGACATTTTATCATGATATACTTAAAACTGAATTTAATATATTTGAAAAGTTAAATTTTGATAATATTTGATTTGTGAGATCCGTCGGGATTGAAGGCAATATAATAGGTGAGATTTATTTTCTATGCCGCTGTAATGATCGATAAAGGGCTGACTTATTTGGCATAACTATCGAATTATATCATATTTAATGTGGACCAACGAGGGACTAGAATATTAACTTAATTTTAGTTCCAACTATGATATAGCTTATCTGGCATTAGATTTTGAAATGATGGGTATGATCAAGGGGGCTTATTTTGAGATTTATTATTGGCGTATCCCCAGCATATTAATTTATTTTAATTTGTTGTAAATTTCGTAAATTCATAATTTTGATATCGAAATTCTAACATTATAATTAATAAAAATATATTCTTTAATATATAACAATATAGAAAATTGAGCTATATGTAAAGAAAAATATGTTATTTAGTGCTGTAAAGTAACGTCAAAAAAGTAATGTCGTTACTTTTTTGAAGAAAAAGAATGCCATTCGTTACCTTATTCTAGAGGTGAGTAACGGTAACGCAAAACGTTACTTTAAATTTTTTCTTAAAAAAATATTAAAAAAAGAAAAATAAGCCGAGTTTTTAATTCATATCAACCACCATTCCTTCATTTTTATTTTAAATTCTCGTTGTTAAATTTTCAGTCGAATGTTAATCTAATTAATATTCAATCCAAATTCAAAGTAAATGTTAATAATAATATTATTATTCTATTTTATAATTTATTTTAAGAATAGATAATTTAACCCATCCATATTTTACATCAATAAAGAAAATTATGGTTAAGTCTTCTTTGTAAATGTAAATTATGTCCCAATGCAAATATTTCAACCTCAATGTCTAGTTCAAACTTAAAAAAGCATATGAAGGTAAAAAGATGAATTAGTATAATATTATTTTAAAAATTACATTAATAATAGAATATTAAATTATGGGTATGATAAAATAACCATTAAAGAAGCATTCTTTCATAATATTTTGAAAAGTTTAATCATCAAATTAAAATATAAGCTATTAAATTATATTATAGTATAGGGCTGGAAACCAACATTAAAAACCCAAGATTAACAAAAAAGATACTTGTTTTAGTATTGCTATTAGTTTAACTTCAAATTGTTAAAAAATTTAAAGTTTTGTTTAAATAAATATATATTTTTAAATAAATATATATTATAAATAAAACTATGAAATTGTTTTAGAGAACTGAACCTAGATATATTTCCTGATTCCTTTTTAAATGATAATTCTGAATTTTGAAAAAGATAAGAAATTGAAAAATTATATTTCGCAATCATAATTTCAATTTTTAATGTTTTCCTTGACAATAAGCTTAGTGAGGGATTAAAAAATGCGATTAAATTTTTAAAAAATTTATCTTTCAATTGTTGAAAAACCTAAGTTATTTTTAATAAAATTCAATAATTAGTATTTTAATTAAAAAATTTTAGACTGTATATTCCTCAAAAATTAAAAAGATTATTGAACATTTGAATAGTAATAACACTCATTGAGATGCAGAATACATCTACATCAAAGATAAAAACAGCACAATCAGCTGTTGATGAATTAATTTTTAATTTTGTAATTGAAGAATTACAAATATTTTCAATTGTAAAAAGTGCATTTATTAATATTATCAAAAAATTGCAGCCAACTAAAAATATGATGCCCAAGCCTACCCTCGTATTAAAAATTAACAAAGCATATGACACCATGGCAAAGAAATTAGTGGATTTATTGTGTATCCCAAAAATTGTCTGTACAACTATGGATTCTTTGTCATCTTATCATCGGTATATAAAATATATAATTTATAGATTGGTAATATTGTCTTTTAGAAAGGTTCTTATTTAGGGATGATGGCATACTACACTCATACATTCTTGAGAGGATTTCAGACAGTTTAGCTTGTAAAAGGCTATACCAAATAAAATACACATTTGATTATCTAGCAAAAATAATTTCTGAATTTTTTTTTACCACATAAGATACAAAATATAGTGACTAAATGCATTATAGACAATGCTAGAAATTATATAAAAGCTTTCAAGTAAAAAAAATATAATATATTTATTAAAAATTTATTAGAGTATATGAACAAGAGGAATCGGATGATGAAATAGTTCCTCCTCTGCCATTATTTGATCTATTTGAAGAACAAAATCCTAATGATAGTGTTGTATAACTTATCTAAGCATTATTCCTGTTCAGCACACACTTTAAATCTCATTGCAAGTGTTGACATTGAAAAGCCATGAAACGATTCCCTTTTAAAACCATCTCTAAAATTGTATTTTCTAATTTTAAGCTATTGTGGAGTAAAAATGAGCAATCTTCAAACTGTGCAGCGGGAGATATCTGATTAAACTGGTTATATCAAGATATAACTTTTTTTATAACACCGTGAAATTAATAGTAGCCTCATTAAGGAGGATTGAAAATTTGACGAATCTTGTCATAAATCTGAATTATAGAGATTTTCAGATAACGACAAACCGTTCATGGATAAATATTGTATGGTTAGTGCTAATTAAGAAATATGATATATATATGATTTTATAGGTTATGGATCCAATTGCTACAGCTCTTTCAATTTTAGAGAGCGAAGAAAAAACGCATTTGGGAAATCTCACTCCCACCATAACTATTATAATATTAAAAAAATGACTTTAAACAATTTCAGGTTTTGTAAGCCGCTTACACTGTGTGACAAGAAAAATGCGAGAAGAAAATAAAAACTAATTTTGGTGCAGAATTTGACGCTGAGTTCGAATCCGTTTTCCAAATTTTCCCTACACGTCAAGTTTTAAAAATATTACCGTATAAAGACAACTTTTCGAAATATCAAAAATGGTAAAATTTAGGTATTTATACGGATATATTTTAAAAAGTATCGAATAAAAATCCCTGAAAATTAATGATAGTGTTAAACTTATATTTCTTTATAAATTTACTAATTTTTATAATTTTTTATCGATCGGTTTTTGAGAAAAATGGTAAAGAATTTCGCTTTGGGGGTCTTAAGTTTTCAATTTAAATTACTATCAAAATTATTAACTTTAGAAGATAAATTTTATATAATTGTGCTTCAAATATGCTCAAATTCTAATTATGTTTTAAAAAGAACTCTATGCCATGAATATTCAACCAAAATCTGTCGGTACAGATATTTTCGAACTTTTTAATTTGTACACTTTTATTGAATTTTCTCTGCATAAAGCATTTTTAAAGCAAAATTAAGCTAATATTTATCTTTTTTAGTTGTATTTATTTAGTAATATTTTATGCATTTATGATCAATTTATACCAAAATCAGATATCTGTACTCACTTTTTTAATTTGTACTCTTTTTGAATTGAGCATTTTTGAAGCAAAATTCATTTAAAATGCAATAATTGGTAATTTTTTCATATTTTTTATTAATATTTATCTTTTTTTTAAGAATATTTGTTTTTTTAATCAATTTATATCAAAATATGATTTTCCAATGGAGTACCTTGAACCCGTAGTATGGGCAATAAATAATAATGCAAAATAACGAGTAGGAAGAAAGGAGAATTATTTTTTTTCGCGCTTAATTTTTCATAAACATTTAATTTCTTCCATTCATTTTTTTTAAAAATTGGATTTTAAATATTATTCAAATTCCCTCCTTGTATAATATTCTACAAAAAATTAATGCCGAGGTCCCCTTGTTTAAAGTGTGTCTCTAAATTTTGTTACATCTGTGCGGGCTATATATTGCACGCACAAAAATGTCCAATTTCTCCAATCATTCAAAGGATTTATGAAATTTATTACAATATTCCACTCTGCAATTTGGATAAACCATTTGCCCCTAATTACATATGTAAAACATGTTATAATTCTTTTAATTCATGGGTAAATGGAAAAAGGTCATATTTGCCTTATTCGAAACCTGCATTTTGGCACGTAGCAAGAAATCATTCGTGGGATTGTTATTTTTGCTCGATTAGTACATTTGGGTTTAACAAAAAAAATAAGAAGAAAATTCGTTATCCTGAAATTTCGTCGGTTGTTTATCCGGTAAAATATAATACGCATACAACAGTTCCTTTTTTTAATAGTTCGCAGCTGGAAAAATTACGTTGCCAGGACAATGACAATATTGATCTTGAGTATCATTCCGAAGAGGATTCGCCATTTATGTCACAAGAGCAACTAAATGACATAACCAGAAATTTACAACTTTCAAAAAGAAAGTCCGAATTTTTAGTCTCAAGGCTTAATGATTTTAAAATTTTAAAAAATGGAGTTCGAACTTCATACCGATTCTGTGGAGCATCGTTTAAAAATTTATTCTCTTACAAAATTTTTTTATACTATTCCAACAATCTAGGTCAACTTTTTTTACAACTTAATATTGAATTGGTGCCCGATGAATGGCGCTTGTTCATCGATTCAAGCAAAAACAGCTTGAAAGCAGTTTTGCTTCATAACGGAAATTATAAGCCATCAATTCCCATCGCCTATTCCAACTAGTTAAATGAATCATATGAAAATATGAAATATTTATTGTCAAAAATAAATTATTCCATTTACGAATTTAAGATATGCTGCGATCTCAAAATGATCGCAATCCTGACGGGCCTTCAGTTAGGTTACACCAAGCATTCGTGTTTTCTTTGTCTCTGGAATTCCAGAGAAACTCTAAAACATTATACAGTATCTGAATGGGAGGATCGTCCTAACGTTCTTGAAAAAAATCGCGTAAATATCCCTGTTGTTTTTAAAAATAAGATTATGTTGCCTCCGTTACACATAAAATTAGGACTAATCAAAAATTTTATCAAGAAATTGTCCGAGGGCCCCACGATATACCTTAGAAATTTTTTCCCCAAGCTTTCCCAAGCAAAAATAAAAGAGGGGATTTTAGTGGGCCCCCAAATAAGAAAACTCATGAATGACAGTTTTTTTTTAAGATGAATTGTTACTCATTGAATTAAAAGCATGGGAATCTTTTAAATGGATATGCAGATCGTTCCTTGGCAATCATAAATCAGCCCACTATCGTGAGAAAATTAATGATCTATTAACAAATTATAAGGAAATGGGATGCCGAATGTCCCTCAAAATCCATTTTCTTCATTCCCATAAAGATTTTTTTCCTGAAAACTTAGGTGCTGTGTCAGAAGAAATGGGGGACCGGTTCCATCAACAGATAGAAAATCTCGAAAAGTTTTAACACGGCAAGAATCGTATAAATATGTTGGCGGATGACTGCTGGAGTATCTTTTTTGAAGATAAATCATTTATATTCGCGGTAATATATTTAGATTTACCATTAAATGTTTTTAAATTCGATAAATTTTATGTTATTGTTTAATTTGTTTTAAATTCAATAAATTTATTGTATATTACAAGGTAAATCCTATATAATAATGAAGGAGGGGGTGGGACAACGGATCGATAAAAGGTTTATTAAAAGTAAAATATGAGATAGGTTAGCTTAGCATAATATATTTATTTAAATATGAAATATAACTATTCCATTTAAAATAAATTGTTTGGGAATCGTACCGTGTGCAGTGTAGCGAAGAGAACGAAAGCCACAATAAATAAATATATTAAATGTAAGCTATATTAAAAAAGATTTTATAAATAAAGGTAAATTTAAAAAATGAGCAGACTTAATTCCTTTATCCAAGACACATACCAGAATATTTTCTGATAAAGATAAAAAAATTTTAATGAGGAAATGAAAGAAGATCGATCTATTAAGCTTTTTCAAAATAAAGATAATTCTTCAAATATTTATAATAACACCGAATTAAAAATTTTATTTATTAAATATAATTCAACTCTCCCATCCTCTGCGCCAACTGAACGTGTGTTTAGCACGCGAAAGCTGTTTTGAGCACTAATAGCTCTTGTTTGTCTGATCAAGATTTTGTTAATCAATTGTTCCTAAATATAAATAAAAAATTGCTATAAAAAGATGTATCTTATAAATAATATATATTATTTTTGTAAAACTTTATTTATATTATATATTGTAGGAAAAAATTAAATATTTTATTTGTATATATCATTTAATTTTTTAAGTAACGAGTAACCCGTTACTTTTTTGAATAGTCAGTAAAGCGTGTTCCTTTTTTAAAAAGGTAAGGAGTAACGGTAACGCGTTCTTTTTTCAGAAGTAAAGAGTAACGGTAACGCGTTTCTTTTTTGTAGTAACGTTTTCAGCACTAATATTATTACATTTATGGATAAATACAAAACAATAGACTTTAATTTTTAACAATTATAAAATCTGTAATAGAAACAATTAGCCTCAAAGGCAATTAAATATATGATGAATTTTAAATATATATATTATTAATTGTGTACGACGATTAATTGTTTGTTTTGTTAAATATATATATACTGCGGTACAAAAGGTAAAAAGTTGTTAAATTTATAATAAAAATTGATTTCATCACAATGGCGCAGTCGTTTCAAATGGAGAAATATAATATAAAGGAGTGCAATATGGAAGTTTATTTATCAAAAATGGAATTCATATTTAAAATCGCAAAAATAGAAAATAAAAAATCATTTTTATTAGCGAATATTGGATTAGAGGTTTATTCTAAATTATTTAATTTGTGTTTGCCAAAGACATTAGAGGAAATATCATAGACATAATTAAACTTTTAAAAAATTATTATATGAAGAAGACAAACTTCCTATTAGAAAGATATTATTTTTTTAAAATGGAACATAAGAAATTGTTGTTAAAACCTTACAAATAATTTACAAAAAAACAAGTCAACCATCTAAATATTGTTATGGTGAGTTGGATTTTTTTTATATTAAAAAGATTAATATTCCTCACCCTACAAAACCTACCTCAGGGAAAATTATTTTTAGATATTAAATTAGCATAAATATTGTCAATATTTTATACATGAAAAAATTGAGATTATTTTATCATTTAAAAAGTGATTAATTTGACTAAGTTTTATACAAAGAAATTATTAGTAAAAATAATAAATTTTTTAAAGTGTCAAAATTTAAATTTTATCATAATATGGAAATTATTTAAAGTTTGTAATTAATTGAAAAAAAGGTAACAAAAAGGAAGTTATAGAAATATCTCAAAAATAAAAAATATACCAGATGAATTTCCATTATCATGTAGAAAAAAATAAATAATTATCATTAAAACAATTTTAATAGTAATTAAACATTTTAAAATTTTCATTAGGAAAAATTTTAGAAGTGTTCTTACATCTTACTGGAATACATTTTAGGTTTAAATTTAAAATATCAATGTATATTAGTTTTAAAATTATATGATAAGATACCTGCTCAGAATTATGCCAATCATTAAAATAAATAAATATGATTTAAAAACCGTTATGAAATGGTTCGAAAGTATTTATAAAGGTTTGGTATACTAAACTATCTCGATTTATGTCGTAGTATAAGCATTCAAATCTATCAAATTTAAGTTATTTTTTTAAAAAAAAACAACGTTTATTTGAATAAATTCGTAGGTTTTGTGTTATATTTTAACTTAAATTTTAGCATGATATTTGTATAAAAATAATTTTTCATAATTTTGGTTTAAAAAAAATTAAATAAAAGAATTTTATAAAAAATCTAAATTTGATGTTTATTATCATCAAAGAGATATTAAATTGTGTATACATATATATTATATATAGGCTAACTCTTAATCTTTTATCTTCAACAGTCCAAAGACGTGTGGCGAAATCATTCGAGGAAGCTAATAGATATACACCCTATTATCCATAAAAAATAATATTATATTATATCCATTTTTGCCAAAATAAATTTTTTTAATATTTATTAAGCATCTGAAGTAAATGACAAATGGGAAGCCATAAAGAAAGTCAAGATGAGGACAACTGAGGAGTTATGTGGACGGATAAAAGTGCCGCCTTCACATAATGAGACATAATGGTGGAATCAGGAGAGCGAAAGCAGTGAAGGAGAAACGGAGATGTTATAATATTTTAAAAAATAGTGATAACGATATTTACAAGGTGGGGATGAGAAATGCCAATAAATTAAAAGCGAAGGCGCAAGAAGAACAAAGGCAGGAGTTTGCTAAAGATATGGAATACGCGGAAAGAATGAGAAATGTGGCCCGGATGGCAAAAAAGGGCAGGGTGTGCTAGATGTTAGATGTGTCTGAAAAATATGGAAGGAAAAATGGTAATTGATAGTAGTGGAATTAAAAACACCTGGATGTACATGGAAGGACTTTTGAAAGAAGAGAATGAATGGGATAATGATGTTGGTTGTGCAGAGATAGAAGGTTCAGGGTGTAAATTTGGCAAGGACAAAATTAAGAGAGCATAGAAAAAGATTAAAAAAGGGAAGGCAGCGGGTTTAAAGAGAGTGGTATCAGAAATGTTTAAAGGTTCTGATGACTTAGGGATTGATGGTTAATGAATTTAACCAATATAATTGTCATAGAAAGAACTATTCCCGAGAATAAGTAGTATTATCCCAGTTTACAAGGGAAAAGGTGATCCTTTAGATTGCGGGTCTTACAGAGCTATTAAACTCTTGGAACATGCAATGAAGATATTTGAGAGGCTGTTAGAGAAGCGGATAAGAGAACAAACGAAAAGTGATGAAATGCAATTTGGTTTTACACAGGGGAAAAAAACGACAGGTACAATTTTTGTTGTGAGACAAATACAAAAGTATTTTGCAAAGGAAAAGATACTGTATTATGCGTTTATTGATTTGGAGAAGGCATTTGAAAGGGTGACGCGCGAGGTTAATAGATGGGCCTTGAGAAAATATGGAAGAATAGTTGGTTATGGTAGTGATGGCAATGTATGTGGAAGCACAACTGTGGCACGGACGGATGATGGAGATAGTGAAGGTAAGACTTCATAAATGATCATTGCTGAGTCCATTATTATTTATATTAGTAATGGACGTGATGGCAAGAGAGATACCAATAGATTGTATTAATGGCAAACAGAGAGGAAAAATTGAGGGATAAAATTAGTAGATGGAAGCAGGGATTCGAACCGAACCCGGAGAAGTGAACCCGGGTTTTTAGAAAAAAACTCTGAACCCGAACCGAACCTGAACCCCATTTATAAAATTTTCAAAACCCCGAACCGAACCCAAGAATTTTATTTGAACCCGGGTTCAACCGGGTTCAGTGTATTATTTAAAATCATATATTAATATATGTAAATACAAATATTATATTTTCAAATTTCCAATTAAATGAAGTGTTAATAAATTTTAAACAACTTAATTCATTTATGCCATTTTTAAATTTATTCTCGATTCCTATTAAAGTGTTAAAAAATTTTAAACAATTGAATTAATTTACGCCATTTATTTTTAAATTTTTATCTTATTATTCTTAAAGATTATTAATTAGAAGAAAATGGTTAACAAATCAAAGTAAAAATTATTATATTGTTAATTTAAAAAATTCTAAACATCTAACTTAAAAATTGTTAAATGTAGGGCAGTTTTTGTGAACTTATTAAAATGATTTTAAAATTTATATATGCTAATCATTTATTTTTGGTTCAGATTAATTTTTACAAGATATTAATGAAGTGCATATTATAAATGAAATTAAATTTATAAATATCTCTTTTTTAATTCTGAAATCATTGCTATTTAAAAAAATTGTTCTCTTTTTATAGATTTAAGATTAAAGATAAAGTCATATTTGATAAGCATTTTACCCTTAATACAATAGAAAAAAAATCAATATGTTCATATTTTAAAGATAAAGTCATATTTGATAAGCATTTTACCCTTAATACAATAGAAAAAAAATCAATATGTTCATATTGCAAAGTAAAAATGTCTGGTAATCACTTGTCAAATTTAGAAAGCCACCTGGAAAGAAATCACAACAATGAATATTTAAATGAAAAAACCAAATATCAGGAATTGTTATTGGCAAAAAAACCTAAAATTAATATAGAAACCTCCCAAAAAAGCATATAAGTATAAATATATCATCTAGTGATTTGATGAGTTCTATACTAGAACTTGTTACTGTAAATGGCCGGCCTTTATCAATTATTGAAGATTCGGGATTTCAAAGAATTATAAATCCACTCCTATCTGGGCTCAATTTAGTTATAAACAAAGAAAATTTATGCCCAATCAATTAGAGACAAAATATCGAGAGAGGTAGAAGGAAAATTAATAAGTTTAAAAGTTGATGCAGTTCAACGACTTGATAGGTCAATTCTTGGTGTAAATATTCAATTTATATCAAAGTCCATTATAAATTTGAGGACTCTTGGAATTGTAGAGCTGAAAGAGAGATGTACAAGAGAATATATAAAAGAGAATATATTAAAAACTTTACTAAAATTTAAAATTAATATTGAACAAATATACACAATTACTTCTGATAATGGTTGTAATTTTTTAAGAGCTATAAAGCTCCTGCAACCTGAAACTGATTATGATATAAGGAGTGAATCAGCAGATGAGGAAAATATGGATGTAAATGTATATAAATATGATATTGATGATATACAAAATACTTTTTTATCAACTATTATATCCTATCCGATTTATAGTGTACGGTGTGCAGCTCACACACTTCAGCTGGCACTTCAAGATGCTATAAAATTATCCGCCTAGCGACATTTTATCACACGACACTTTATCATGCGACACTTTATCATGCGACACTTTATCATGCGACACTTTATCACGACGACACTTTATCACGACGACACTTTATCACGACGACACTTTATCACGACGACACTTTATCACGACGACACTTTATCACGACGACACTTTATCACGACGACACTTTATCACGACGACACTTTATCACTCAGTCATTTGATAACGCGACACTTTATCACGAGACATTTTATCATGATATACTTAAAACTTAATTTATTATAATTGAAAAGTTAAATTTTGATAATATCTCATTTTTTGACTTTCATCATTGTTCTAATTATGTATAAAATATATATATATAAGCCTCAAATGTCAATCAGATGGATTGTAGACATCTGATTGAAGGAAAAAATTATTATTATTTAATGTAAAAAAAATAATAATTATTATAATAATATATTTTTTTTAAAATATATATTTTTGTATAATTAAATTATTAAAAAAAATTGTCAAAGTTTTAAAGAAAAAGATTATTATAAGAAATAAAGAAATTTTGAATAATTTAAATAGTATTTTGTTATACTTATTCTATCGTTTTATACAATTCAATATCAACTATGGATATCCAGAATACACTTAAAAAATCATGATATACTTAAAACTTAATTTTATATATTTGAAAAGTTAAATTTTGATAATATCTCATTTTTTGACTTTTCCGTCTAAATTCCAATATTTAAAAAATTTAAATTAATTTTTTTTATTGAGAAAAACTCATATTTTAATTTACATAAATATAATTTTTTTTAACTTAATTATCATCTTATATAGGGAAACAGGAGACATAAGCAATAATTTTCTATTTATACTTTTAATTAATAAGTAACTATAAATCAATAGAACACCACACTTAAATTAATGTGTTTATCTATTGATATTTTTTAAGCTAATCGTTTTTTCACAAAGATTTATAATTTTTACAAATTAAGGTTTTGTATTTACCCATAAATATAATAATATTTTTTTTTCTATATATACCTCAATTTTCTATATTATTATATATTAAAGAATATTTTTTTTATTAAATTATATTGTTTGAATTAGGATTTACATCGAAAAATAAACCTACCCTTTTATATCAAAATTACGAATATACTAAATTTAGGACAAATAAAAATGAATCAATATGCTGGAGATGCGCCAAATATAAATCTCTAAAATGCCATTCTTTTAATACAACAAAATTGAATGATATCTTAAAAGGTCCCCTTTATCATACTCATGAGGGTAACATTTCAAAATCTTATGACCGAAAAGCAATATCAGAAATGAAATCCAAATTAAGTGAATATTCTAGTCCTTCTTTGGTCCATGCAACAACATTGTTAAATTATGATAATAATACCTTGATGGTTATGCCAAATAAGTCTGCCCTTTATCGATCCTTACAAAGGCATAAAAAATCGATCTCTACCATTATATTGCCTCCTATCCCTAAGGATCTCACTTTCTTATATCCGGAATGTTACAGGGATATGCTCAAATACGTGTTGGAAACTCATTTGATACTTTGGCAGAAATATTTGGTGAATTGAATGGCTCATCTGAGCTAATTTCCTACTTTGAGAAGACCTATATCCGAGGACGTAGAAATCCCAGTAAAAAAATATTTTTTTTAGTATTTATAGGGCAACGAAATAACTTTGCAGCGCCTTTATATAATGTAAGACTATGGAATAAACACAATTCCACGTTAGAAGGTGTCGCCCGAACAACAAATTGTGTTGAAGGGTGGCACTATGGAATTCAATCCCTATACCAATGTTCTCATCCAACACTATGGAAATTTTTAGATGGGATACAAAAAGATATGCAGAAACAAAACGCTCTATATCTTCAAGTCGTGATGGGAACAACACCGTACTTATCAAAGAAATATGAAGATATAAAAAGACGAATTCAGATTTGTGTTTCAAATTACGGATTGTCGGATTCTTTAATATTTTTAAAAGCTATTGCCCATATTTCGTGCAATTAAATATATTATAAATAATTTATATATTAATAAAAAGTATAAATAGAAAATTATTGCTTGTCTACTGTTTCCCTATATAAGATGATAATTAAGTTAAAAAAAATTATATTTATGTAAATTAGAATATGAGTTTTTCTCAATAAAAAAAATTAATTTAAATTTTTTAAATATTGGAATTTAGACGGAAAAGTCAAAAAATGAGATATTATCAAAATTTAATTTTTTCAAATATATTAAATTAAGTTTTAAGTATATCATGATAAAGTGTCGCGTTAACATAAAAAATTAATTTAAATATTGAAATTTAGACGGAAAAGTCAAAAAATGAGATATTATCAAAATTTAATTTTTTCAAATATATAAAATTAAGTTTTAAGTATATCATGATGAAAGTCAAAAAATGAGATATTATCAAAATTTAACTTTTCAATTATATTAAATTAAGTTTTAAGTATATCATGATAAAGTGTCGCGTTAACATAAAAAATTAATTTAAATATTGGAATTTAGACGGAAAAGTCAAAAAATGAGATATTATCAAAATTTAATTTTTTCAAATATATAAAATTAAGTTTTAAGTATATCATGATGAAAGTCAAAAAATGAGATATTATCAAAATTTAACTTTTCATTTATATTAAATTAAGTTTTAAGTATATCATGATAAAGTGTCGCGTGATAAAGTGTCGCGTTATCAAATGACTGAGTGATAAAGTGTCGTCGTGATAAAGTGTAGTCGTGATAAAGTGTAGTCGTGATAAAGTGTAGTCGTGATAAAGTGTAGTCGTGATAAAGTGTTGTCGTGCTAAAGTGTCGTCATGATAAAGTGTCGTCGTGATAAAGTGTCGTCGTGATAAAGTGTCGTCGTGATAAAGTGTCGCATGATAAAGTGTCGCGTGATAAAGTGTCGCGTGATAAAGTGACTCCAAATCAAAATTATCACCTATAGTGGAAACCATTGCAAAAGCTAGGAGCCTAAATTTAAAATTAAGACATCCCACTTACCAAAAGTTATTAAAAAATATGAAACTCCCTAAGCCTGTGTTAGATTGCCACAGATGGCATTCAACCCATGATATGTTAGAAAGGCTGATTTTACTAAAACCCAATATCGAAGATTTTTTTACAGAGCAATCTGATTATTTATTGACTGAAGATTGGAAAGAGATAATAACGATTGTTGAAATTTTAAAACCGCTAAAAATCGCAACCAAACAATTCCAATCTGAACAGTTAACACTGACAGATTTTTATGCAGCACGGTTAAGATGCTGCATCGAACTGGAAAAAAATCCAAACCATTTTGCTCAATTACTATATTCTTGTCTTAAGAACAGAGAAGAAAGGTTTATAAAGAACGAAATTCTCTTAACTGCCATATACCTGGACCCAAGATACAAGGTTAATTAAAAGCTTAGTAAATTAAATATTTTAGATTTATATTAAAATTGTTATTTTATGGAATATTTAAATATAAACAATATAAATCCTTAAATATTACAGGTATTACTTAGTGATGATGATAAGATTTGTGCGAAAAGGCATCTTGTCAATTTATGGAGACGAATTAAAAGCTTAACAACGCCGATTTTATCTGATGATATTAGTTCCGATGAAGTTATTGAACAAGAAGATGATTTAGAGAAATTGCTACAACTTAAAGAAAGGCAGGAGAAAATACTTAAAAGAGGGCCAACGATTGCTGAGAAAAGTATTGGAACAATAATTACTGGATTTAGCGATTATAAAAGATTAGATAAGAAGGAAAATATTTTGCATTTTTGGGAGTCTGCTAAGCTGGAACACCCTGAATTATATATTTTATCTAAAATCTTATTTGCTGTTCCTGCAACCCAAGTTAATTTATCATATTTTCAAATATAAATACATTTAACATAGGTTAGCGTTGAAAGATCTTTTTCACATTTGAAATTCATTCTTTCACCACATAGATCGAGGATGAGTGAACAACTCTTGGAAGATATTATGCTAATACGTCTAAATAAAATTTTTAAAATTGATACATGACTATATGCTTTGTATTTTTAACTATATTTGCCTATAAATAAAATAAAAAATTTATTTTTTATATTAAATTTATGTCTAGTTTTTTATTATGATTTAAATATAGAATTTTTTTTATCAATTCAAAAATTCTGAACCGAACCCTGGTTCAAAAATATTTCCCTGAACCGAACCCGAACAGAACCCACTTTTTTTTTATACCCCGAACCGAACCCGGGCAAAAATTTTGTCGGGTTCGGATCCCTGAGAGGCTATGGAAGCAAAGGGTCTAAAAATGAATGCAGTAAAGACAAAGGTTATGATTGGTGGGGATAATCTGAAGATGGAGAAATCCGGCAACTGGCTTTGTGGTGTATGTGGAAAGGTGTCTCTAGAAATTCAATCCAATTCACTAGATGCCAGAATAACATGATTATAAGAAGTGTGGCGTTGATGTCTCCGTTGATTATATAAACAGTGCTTATTCGCGATCCAATTGATCAGCCAACTTTTGCATTGATATAAAGGGATTACATATTTTAAAATGCAAGAAAAAAATAACCACAAGAAAATTAATACTATCTAATAATAATATTTCATAGGAGGAATTTTTTTATAACCCCTCCCCCTTTGATGAATCTTGGTTACGCCACTGTAACCAGACCAGCACTGATTTTTATCCTCTTAATTTCAACCGAAAATTGAGTAATTATATTATAAGAAGAAATAAATATAAATGTTGTACATAATTTTGTAAAATAAGTAAGATTTTTTACAAAATCGCATAAGTTGCTTTAATTATCATCAACATATTATATTCAAATAAATTTTTTATATAAAATCAAAATAAAAAATGAATAGATATGAAGATTAGAAATCAGCAGGCCCCGGCCCTTAAAAATTTTTAATGTTTGGCCCCATTATAGTTTTAAACCGACACAAGTTTCTCAAACAGGCCCTTAATATATTTTGTGAAGAAAAATTAATAAATTTGCAAATTCTATTTCCATAAATCCACACCTCTCAGCCCAAAATATAATTTGCAAATATTGTCCAGGTCAGCCCAAAATATATTTTGAATAAGTTCCCAGTCAATTTTTTTAATCAGGTCAGGGCTCCGGACCGACTTATGTAATGTTTTTCACCGAGGTTAATATGAAATAATTTATACCCAATTTCCTGGAGATTTCTTTCGAAATGGTTTAAATAAAAGAATTATTTGAGTGCAAATAAATAATATAAACAGCATATAAATGTATAAAAGATGTGTGTTTGGAAAAAAAATTAAAATTTGTCTGATCAAAAATGAAAGATGTTCTAAAATCAGAAAAACATGCAGGGACCCTCATGATCAATCATCAATAAAGTATGGCTAGAAAAAATCATTTCCTTCCTTTTTTTTCCTGATTTCATATCACAATTTAAGAAAGAATAAATATCGAAGATGGAAAGTATTTCATTTTCAGATATCATTAAATTATCAGTTTCAGTGCTGACAATTTGAATGCATAAAATTAAGAGATTAGAGAATATATTAAATTTGAATTTAAGATATATTTTCCAATATCATATATATAAAATCAGGTCATGGCTCGATCATAGCCTAAAAACTTTAAACAGAGGGCTTTAGGTTTGGTAGGACCAAAAAAAATCCAATTTTCTGGTATCTAATTGGAAAACCGGATAGAATAAGTTAAAATAATAACCTCTGAGTCAAATTGAATGGAGGTGATGCCACCTGAACAACCTAAAAATTCGGATTTGCATTCACATACATCTTCAATTTATTTTTAATAATAAAAATTGATAATGAGTAAAAAGAAATTAAATTAGAAATGAATATTATAAATTAAATTAATACCATTTCCTATTTCCCATAATTTTATTTTGCGATCAGCCCCTCCTGTTCCAAAAATTCTACCATTATTTGAATATGAAGGATATATAGCAAGTGACGTTACCTCTGACTCGTGAGCATTGATCTATTATTGTGGGAAATATAAATATTAGAGCTGTGTTAATATTAAATATAGGATCGAGGCTGATATTTACCTTTTAAAAAAATTTGATCAGGTTAATATTTTTTAAAAAAGCGATCCGATCTAATATTACATCGTTTTGATTATTTTACGATTGTATATATATAAATATAATTATGGTCTTTTTTATTTTATACATTATAGATAATAGAATGAACAGAAAACACAAAATTTAAATCATTTGTAATGAATTTTTTTAAAAATCAATTTTTTTGAAAGAATAATTAGCTAAAAATGGATTATTTTTCGTTTTCTTATGCTTTGTCTTCGCAGGCAATCGGGCGATTTATTTTCCAAGTGAAATGGTGTCTATATACTCTATTTTTGTCTTAATAACATGTTTTTTTATTGAAACACATTTTATTCTTTTAATAACTACTATTCAAGATTTTATCATGAGCAAATATTTAGTAAAATAGATTTTTAAAAAATATTATGTATATTTTAATAATTTAAGTTAACATTGATAATGAGTAGAAACAGGAGGCAAAAAATTGTGATTTAATTGGCATAACAAATTTATATTTTTTAATTAATTTTACTGCCTTTATACTCAATTTTTGATAGCATTTGTCTACTCTGTAAATTTTTATTAAAATATATTTTTTATTCTAATAAAATCAGCACCCCCACTTCAAAATTTAATTTAAATAAGGGTATTCATCATTAGTTCAAGAAAAAATCCATTTTCTTTTAAAACTAGAAACAAGCCTTTTTTTTATCTCACAAATATGTCTTTTATATTAATCTCAAATATTAATAATTTAAAAAATCAATATCTAATTTATAATATTAAATTTTATAGATATTTCCTGAAAGTCCTTATCTTTTCTAAATTTATTTTTAAGTTTATCTATATAAATTCAATATAACTTGAGATTGTCTGATATCTCTAATATCACATTTATCGAAAATTATATATAATATTAAGAATAAAAGTATAGTGAAATTTATTAAATAAATGTTGTTTTCAAATTTCGTGAAAATAAAATGCGCGAATATGCTATTATTAATTGCCTGCAAAGAGGTAGCCTTTTGCAAAATTGCAGCAAGAAAAGGATATAAAAATATTTAACCAGATATATTCAGTCATAAGCATTGCCAGGGTTAAGCAGGCCCTCAAAAAAAGAATCTAGATAGAGATACGATTCTTTGCAAAAAAGGATCTTATATAGATCCTTGTAGCATTAAAAAAATCAAAAAGATATATTGTCTTTTGCTAAATGAGATATTTTAAAAACAAGATACAATTTATAAAATGATCATTACCTATTAAATTTGAATATTTAAATATAAAATAGCACTTTATATAATTTATTAAGTATATACTATAAATATAGAAGAGATTAATTTACTTGAAATTTTTATAAGTAAATATTAATAAAGCACATTTTATAATAAAAAGAAATATTTACAAGTCTTGATGGGTATTACTTGGTTTGGAGGGGGAATGGTTAATGAAGGGGTGGGGGTGTAAAAATATTATTTTTGATATGGGTATCAAATAAAAGCCAATTTTAATATCGTTTGACTAAAAGTCTTCATTCTTGGTCTTGATAGGTATGACTTGGTCTGGTGGGGTGGGGGGTGGAGGAAGGGGTGTAAAAAATAATTTTCTTTGATATATCAAATAAAATATGGAAAAGAAATATTACAAACTCGATAGGCAACAGCATCTAAAATATTTTAGCTAGACTACCTTCGTTTATTGCATATTTGATAGATAGGAATAAGCAAGAGAATGCTTACAAATAAAATTAAAAAAATAAAATTTTGCATTGGGGATCACGTACTTATCCCAATAAAAATGATAGATCTAATCTATGCCCCTAAAATATTGAAGCCGAAATTATCCAAATGGAGGCGAGAAATTATGGGTTGGAACTAATTTGGGAAAAATTGATTCCCCATTTTTATAAACGAACGTTCATAAATCAATAAAATTTACCAATTTTACCATTCCTAATAAGACCATCTCTACTCTTTAATAACAGCATCAAGAAGTGCATCTTCTTATGGTAATTGTAAATCAATTTGTAATTGCCAAAAAAAGTTGCAACAATAAGAGATGGCAATGTTTTAAAAATGGCATTAATTGTTCCACAAAATGTCACTTAAATATTATTTGTGTAAATAATAAATAATTGTTCAAAATTATATTTTAAATTAATTATCAAAATCAATAAAATAAGTTGATTGATTATATGGCTTGAAAAAAATATAATAATAGAGATGATTTGCTTATAAAGAAATGTAATAATTTATAACTGCAATAAGAAAAATTTATAATGTCATTTTAAAATTTGTGAATCAATGGTTTCAAATATAGCCGAAATTTTGAGATTTATAAAAATATTACAAATTAGATTAAGTTGCTAGCAAATAATTTTATCATTAGGCTACAATGAGTTTTTAAAAATCAATGACTATATTTAACCTATGCTTATATTTGTATTTAATATTGAGGTCTAAATGTATTTAACTTTTATTACCCATGTTTATGTTTTGCGTTAATAATAATATTCATTACATCTTAAGATGCCCGTTTAGCCTGATGAAATTAATATAATCAAAAAATTTTTTAATTACTATTTATTAGATACCCATAAAAATTCACTATCCTATGGCCAGTTGAAATATAGCATGGTTAGATCTGGCCAGAAAATCAACTTTCACATTAACTCATCTAACTCAAAAACTATTATAGAAGCTCTAATTTTTTTTTAAAGATTAAGTATTGAGCTATACATTGATATTAATTTTTGTTTGATATATTACATTTAAATGTTTTCTCAAGTTGAAGCTACTAGTCTTGTTTGATGATAAAACCTCCGCCATATCTTACAGAAAAATTTATACCCTGTGTTAATTTTTTTATCGAGATTAAAATATTTTGAGAATTTAGGAAAAGGAAATTCCATATCATCATCATTTTCAAGGGATATTACTTTGTCGATATGATCTGTACCAAAATTATTTTCATTATCAATCTCTACTGTCGACATATAAAATATTTATTTTTTTGAAAAATATATTTACAATGCATATTTTTAAATGTAAATTTAAATTTTAAAATAAAAAGATTATGATTTTAGAATTAATTATAAAATTATTATAATAATTTTTGCTATTTATTTAGCAACGAGCTACCGCTATCTCTCTTTTAAAAAAAATGTAGCACGTAAAGATCGATACTAAAAAAAATAGATATAGAATATCGCGCTAAATATAGGACATTGCAAATTATATATTTCAAGTTCAGGATAAACCTAAAAAAGATTTTAAAAATTGTTTTATCCTCATTCTCTTTTATTTTTGTAAATTCTATCCAACTAGATATTTTGTTAATATGTTGAGGGCCTGGCTGTTATACCCATCAAGAAAAAAAAATGAATGCTTTCAGTCTAAAGATATTTAAATTAACTTTTATTTGATACCCATATCTATATTTTGTGTTGATAAAAATATTCCTTATCCTCCAAGAACTAGACCCGCCCTCCATTGGCGTAAGCAGCGGGGGGGGGGACCTGGGGACAAATCCCCCCCCCAAAGCCAAAAAATGCAGATGCCGGTTATATTTTTCAAAAATATTATTGTTTATATTAATTTATTTTTGTTAATATTTATTCGTATCTCATATTAAATATATATTTTATTACATTTCTTATCACATTCATAAGTTATTTTATCAATTAATTTCGATTTCAAGTTTTCCGGCGTAATATTTACTTATTATTTTCAAAATTTTAGTGGCGTAATATTTATCTACCATTTTCAAATTTCTAGTCAAATAATAATTATTTCTGAAACTACTGGTCCAACAGGGAAAAAGAAATTGCAACCTTGTCCAACGAGATAGAGCCTCTTCCATTAAGCACTAACAGCTATTAAGGAGTTAGAAGAGCCAATTATTTGCTATTACTGAAATATCACAATGGCCTGGAAGAAATATTTCCTCAGAAGCAAGAAAATTATTGGATTCAATGCTTATTCCAAATTTTATTTCTCATTAGAATGTATTATTTAATTATACAACTATTTTAAGTATTACTTTTCAAAAACATAACATTGATTTGATTAAGAAGATGAGAATAGCGGAGAGCATTTTATCAGAACTCAAGGAAATTAGGGCTAATGTTGATGAAGAATTTCATATTTTATTGTTGAATGAAAAGCAGAGCTATACGTGTTTAATATTTATCTCCCTCGAATTTTAGCAAGGCAAGCTCATCGTTAAAATATTAATATAGGATCAGTAGAAGAGTATATCTTAGATGCAGATACATTTATAACCCAAATAAATGAATTTTTAATATATCATGCAGCACTTACATCTGCAAATATTACTTCCACAAAAGCCTTCCCAATCTTTTTCAGATGGTGATAGAAAAAAAAATATTTGTTAGATTTTTATTATGAAGATGTTAAGGTATCTTATGATGCCTTACTAGCTGAATAACTATGTTTATAAGATTAACTATGGTTGATATAGTCCCAAAAAATGGTATGGATGCTCTGCATTATTTCAAACACATTATCGATTAAATTCCCAATGTATTAAAAGGGTTTATAAACTCTTCCCATTAGTAAACAAATGAGAGAACATTCTCTTTTTTAAGAAGAATAACAGAGGCCTGCAGAAGTGCCATTTGCAGGACACGGCCCGGATTTTTTTTAAAGATTTTTAGGCTTTTTTAAAAAAAAATTTTAGGCCGCTCGGCTTTTTATTTAAATTTACAGGCTCGGCCCGGCTTTTTTTAAAATAAAATTTTCAGGCCTGGCCCGGATTTTTTTAAAATAAATTATATATTTTTTTGATTTTTATAGCTAATAATAACGATTTCAAATATATGCTGTTTTAAAAAATACAGCCCGGCTTGGGTGTTTTTTTTTTAAAATTCAGGTCCGGCCGGGGTGTTTTTTTTAAAAAATTTCGAGCCCGG